TAATGCATGTTTTTTTTTTTTTTTTTTTTTAGAATTATCATTTGTATTTTTTTTCCTAAAGGAATTATCATTTGTATGTTGAACAAATAACTCTAAATCGTCTTTTCTTACCATTGGAGTTTTCTTGTATATATGTCATTGCATTGATCCATATAAATCTGAAAAAATATATTTTGGCTCATATACATATTTCTTATGCTAAGATTATGAGAATCAATTTTCCCTATGTTTAGACAAATTACATAGAGTCAAATGCAATAAAAGAGTTAATTTTGAAATCAATAATTTTACCGTCAAAGTAGACAAAGACAATTATGATTTTTTTCTCTTATTTATTTTTAAGATGTTGGAGTGGAAAAAAATACTAAAATTTTTCTTTAAAATTAACTTTTTAAAAGATCCTAAATTCTAAATTATTTCTATTAGAATTATAGTTTTCAAATTCAAATAAAAAAAGTGTTCTTCTTTGCTCTTTTTTTTTTTTTAATGATAACGAAGGCGACTAAATTGGCACTTTCTAAAATTCTCTTCTCTCACGTTAATTATACACTAGATATTATAAATAAATAAAAAAAGTGAAGTTTATAAAAGATAAACAAAAAGATATTGATGCCCACTGTAAAACTTAAGAGACGTAATTGAGGACAGAAGCTCAATTCAAAAGTTTCCCTTTAAAAGCCAAAACTTCAATAGACCTCTTTAAAAACCTTGATAGTATATTCTAATAGAAAAACCTATCAAGGGAAAAAAAAGTTTCATAACCTCAAAAGTAATAATAATAATAATAATAATAATAATAATAATTATTATTATTATTATTATTATTATTATTATTAAATCACAGCTTCAATAATGCCTCAAAAGTAGAAGCAATCATAACCTCTCATACACAATAACAATCCATGTTCATAAAAAATATATAATTGATAATTTATTGAAATGTAATAGTTTAATAATCAAATTTTTTGTACATCCGATCTTTGCGTGTTTTTTAGTCTTTTTAAAACATGTTTTAATTGTGTTAAAATTAAGAGGTGTCGATATTTGTAGTTTTTGTAAGTATCATGTGGAAGATTGTTGAGTTATTAAGCATAATTATTATTTTACAGTGATAATAGGCATACCAATTTTAAGGATGAACTACTTTAATTCCAACAAGTTTTTGTGTGTGTTTATTTTTATTGCTTCCTTCATGATAATTAGTTTGAAATAGGGTCACCAGCCCTAGGTGCAAGCTCTATTACTGGAAATTGTTAGATAAATATTGTTGTTTATGTGAAGTTATGTAATAGGGGCAATGAGATAAGGGATTTTTAAAAAAAAAGTAAAATCGAAATTTATTGTAACATCTTAGATTATAATTAGTCATTTAAGAAAAATTTTAAAAAAGTTTTTAGTAGTGAGAGTTAGTTGAACTACTTTAGTTTATTTCAAAAAACATGAAAAGGAATTTTGCTAAATAAAACATGAAAAGGTTGTTACTGTCATTATGAATTTTTGGGCCAATGCAATTATGAATACATGTTAAGTTCATGAAAAATAATATAAATAGAATAGACTTGTCCTTCATGTGCACATGGGTTGCAATAAGTGGTGGAGTCAGCCTTTCATTTCAAGCGGGACATGCCTAAATTTACGTGGATTTCCAATAAAATTGTAATGATCATTGTGATCCACTTGGACCACGAAGATAATGCATGTTTTTCTTTTTTCTTTTTTTTGTAATTATCATTTGCATTTTTTTCCTAAAGGAATTATAATTTGTAAGTTGAAAAGATAACTCTAAATCGTCTTTTCTTACCATTGGAGCTTTCTTGTATATATGTCATTGCACTGATCCTTATAAAGTAATCTAAAAATTTGGCTCATGGCTCATATATTTGTGCAACTCTTTAAGCCTTTTATTTAAAATTCATTAGTTATTACAAAGAAGCTAAAGTGCCGCCAAATGTAGAAATATAATGATGTCAATATTAATCTAGTTTGCTTATTTATTTACTTTCTTACTATTTGAGACCACATCTGGGTTTTGATTTTAATAATTGATCTATTTATAAAGAAATAAAAAAAAATCTATAATCTCCAAGTGCCACAATAATTTCACTGACGACATAATAATAATTGATAACATGTACTTCCATCTAAATTTCTTATATAGAAGGAAATGCATATACAACCCATTTAATTGAAATCATTTGTCCATTTAAATTTTAAAAATTAAGTTTTTCAGACTACATTAGATCACATCATTTAAAAAATTTTAAATATTTTTAATTAAATTTTTGATACTTCAATATTTAATTTTATATTTTCGATACTTTAATTGTTAATTTTGTTGAACAATGTGTCATAATATGATTGTTTAGACAAATTCTAATTTAAATAATTTTTTTTTTGTCCCAGACTATTATATACAAATATAAATATATATATATATATATATATATATATATAGAGAGAGAGAGAGAGAGAGAGAGACAATGAATCTGACTATTCAAGTGCAAA